ACTGTTAAAGAAAGTGGCAGCTCATGGCATTGGGGGAAAAGTGCTCTCGTGGATCGAGTCATGGCTCACAGACAGGAAGCAGAGAGCGTCTATAAATGGGGTTAAATCCAACTGGGGATCAGTAACAAGTGGCGTTCCACAAGGATCAGTCTTGGGCCCGTTGTTGTTTATAATATATATCAATGATCTTGATGAGGGAATTACTAGTGATATGAGCAAATTCGCCAATGACACAAAGATAGGTAGGATAATTGATTCAAACGTAGATGTTAGGGAACTTCAGGAGGATTTAAACAAACTCTATTCTTGGTCAGAAAAGTGGCAGATGCAGTTCAATGTAGATAAATGCAAGGTTCTGAAGCTCGGGAGTGTCCATAACCCTAGCACTTATAAGTTAAATGATGTAGAACTTAGCCATACAGATTGCGAAAAGGACTTGGGGGTTATGGTGAGCAGCAACCTTAAACCAAGACAGCAATGCCTAAGCGTACGTAATAAGGCAAATAGATTACTGGGATTTATATTGAGAAGTGTAAGCAACAGAAGTCCAGAGGTCATACTGCAGCTTTATACATCATTAGTAAGGCCTCACCTAGATTATGCAGCTCAATTCTGGTCTCCATATTACAGAATGGATATAAATTCGTTAGAAAACATTCAGCGTAGGATGACTAAATTAATACATAGCATTAGAAATCTTCCTTATGAAAAAAGATTGAAGACTCTTAAGTTACATTCACTTGTTAGAAGAAGAATGAGGGGAGACCTGATCAAAGTGTATAAGTGGAAGTTAGGTATTAATAAAGGGGATATTAATAAGGTCTTGAGGATATCTCTCCAAGAGAGAACCCGCAGTAATGGATTTAAGTTAGATAAGTTTAGATTTAGAAAGGACATGGGAAAGTATTGGTTTGGAAATAGGGTAGTTGATGATTGGAACAGTTGAACGCCACTTGTTACAGATCCCCACTCGGATTTAACCCCATTTATGGACACACACTGCTTCCTGTCTGTGAGCCATGACTCGATCCACGAGAGCACTTTTCCCCCAATGCCATGAGCTGCCGCTTTCTTTAACAGTCTTTGGTGCGGAACTCTATCAAAAGCCTTACTAAAATCTAAGTAAATAATATCAAATTCTTTATCATGGTCAACAGCCTCATAAGCTTTACTGAGGAAAGTTAATAAATTAGTTAGACAGGACCGGCCTCTTGTGAATCCATGCTGAGTATCATTAATCAAGCTATGCTTATCGAGATGGCTTCTTATAATCTCAGCTATAATTGATTCTCGTAATTTGCCTACAATTGAGGTCAGGCTTATTGGGCGGTAATTTGATGGCAATGACTTGTCCCCTGCTTTAAAAATAGGAATTACATTAGCCATCTTCCACATGAATGGTTCGCAGAACCGACATGTTGATAAATTAGACACAGGTGCAACTCTTGGGTATCTTTATTAAGGAAACGTTTTGCCACACAGTGGCTTCATCAGTCCATACACAGGAGAAACTTGAACAGGAGGAGAATGAGGTAATCAGTACTTCAACCTTGAGTCGATGTGGTCAGTCCATCAGTCTTGAATAGAATACGTCATATGAGCGGAGAAGCAGCTTATAAACCGTAGGCAGGAGAGGTGCAGCAGTTGTAGGTGGTGTCACATTTGCCCATTGTGGAAGTAGGTCGTGCCCAAGGGTTAGGCAAGCGAAGAATTCCCAAGTATTAAGATCCCAAGAAGTTGCAGTGTCTGACAGGATTGTAGATGAATGGTTCACAGAACCGACACGTTGATAAATTAGACACGTGCAACAATGTAGGTTTGCAGATGAGCAAGGAGGTTTTAGAGTGGGTAGGGGATGTGTAGATCAAGTGTTTACATTGAAGCGCATATGTGAACAGTATTTAGATAAGGCATATGATAGAGTGGATAAGGGACCAATGTGGCAGATGTTGCAAGTATATGAAATAGGTAGTAATTTACTAATTGCTGTATAGTTTTTTTTTGAGGATAGTGAGGCTCAGGTTAGGGTGTGTAGAAGAGAGGGAGAATACTTCCCAGTAAAAGTAGGTCTTAGTCAGGGATGTGTAATGTCACCATGGTTGTTTAATATATTTATAGATGGGGTTGTAAAAAAAGTAAATGCTAGGGTGTTGAGGAGAGAGGTGGGATTAAATTATGGGGAATTAAATACAAAATGGGAATTGACACAGTTACTTTTTGCTTATGATACTGTGCTCATGGGAGATTCTAAAGAAAAATTGCAAAGAGTGTGTAAAGGTAGAAAGTTGAAAGTGAACATAGATAAGAGTAAGGTGATGAGGCTATCAAATGATTTAGATAAAGAAAAATTGGATATCAAATTGGGGAGGAGGAGTATGGAAGAAGTGAATGTTTTCAGATACTTGGGAGTTGACGTGTCAGCGGATGGATGTATGAAGGATGAGGTTAATCATAGAATTGATGAAGGAAAAAAGGTGAGTGGTGCATTGAGGTATATGTGGAGACAAAAAACGTTATCTATGGAGGCAAAGAAGGGAATGTATGAAAGTATAGTGGTACCAACACTCATATATGGGTGTGAAGAATGGGTTGTAAATGCTGCAGTGAGGACGACGTTGGAGGTGGTGAAGATGTCCTGTCTAAGGACAATGTGTGGTGTAAATATTATGCAGAGAATTTGGGGTGTGGAAATTAGGAAAAGGTGTGGAGTTAATAAAAGTATTAGAGGGCTGAAGAGAGGTTGTTGAGAAAGTTTGGTCATTTAGAGAGAATGAATCAAAGTAGAATGAAATGGAGAGTGTATAAATCTGTAGGGAAAGGAAGGCGGGGTAGGGGTCGTCCTCAAAAAGGTTGGAGGGAGGGGGTAAAGAAGTTTTTGTGGGTGAGGGGCTTGGACTTCCAGCAAGCATGCATGAGTGTTTTAGATAGGAGTGAATGGAGATGAATGGTATTTGGGACCTGACGAGCTGTTGGAATCGGAGCAGGGTAATATTTAGTGAAGGAATTCAGGGAAACCGGTTATTTTTATATAGCCGGACTTGAGTACTGGAAATGGGAAGTACAATGCCTGCACTTTAATGGAGGAGTTTGGGATATTGGCAGTTTGGAGGGATATGTTGTGTATCTTTATACATATATTCTTCTAAACTGTTGTGTTCTGAGCACCTCTGCAAAAACAGTGATTATTTATGAATGAGGTGAAAGTGTTGAATGAAGATGAAAGTATTTTCTTTTTGGGGGTTTCCTTTTTTGGGTCATCCTGCCTCGGTGGGAGTTGGCTAACTTGTTAAAATAAAAAAAATGTACATTATGTAAGGTAATGGAGAGGATAGTCAGCAGGAGAGTGATAGAGTACTTGGAGAGAAGTGGCTTCATAAACAACAACCAGCATGTAGTTCAGAGATAACAGGTCTTACCTTACCAACATTTTACAATTCTATGACCAAGTAAGGGAAGTGAGACAAATCGTAGAGTGTAAGAAGGCATTTGATACTGTACCCCACACGAGACTTGAGGGCAAAAACTTCAGAAGCATCCAGGAATAGCTGGGAACATACTCCACTGGAACAAGGAATACATTACAGAAACGGAGCAGAGAGTGATTGTCTAGGGAGAGATGTCAGAATAGGGAAGAGTGACAAGTGGTGTACCACAAAGATCAGTATTAGGACCAGTGCTGTTTCTGGTGAATGGGTGAGGGCCTTGGACTTCCAACAAGCGTGCGTGAGCATGTTAGATAGGAGTGAATGGAGACAAATGGTATTTGGGACCTGACAAGCTGTTGGAGTGTGAGCAGGGTAATATTTAGTGTAGGGATTCAGGGAAACCAGTTATTTTATTTAGCCGGACTTGAGTCCTGGAAATGGGAAGTACAATGCCTGCACTCTAAAGGAGGGGTTTGGGATATTGGCAGTTTGGAGGGATATGTTGTGTATTTTTATATGTATATACTTCTAAGCTGTTGTATTCTGAGCACCTCTGCAAAAAGAGTGATTATGTGTGAGTGAGGTGAAAGTGTTGAATGATGATGAAAGTATTTTCTTTTTGGGATTTTTTCTTTTTTGGGTCACCCTGCCTCGGTGAGAGACAGCCGACTTGTTAAAAAAAAAAAAAAATCTGTTTAAAGATGTAAAACTAATGGGACTATTAACAGACGAGGATGGGGAAATGCTTCAAAAGAATTTTGACAAACTCCAGGGTTGCTCAGATAAGTGACTGCTTAAAATTAGCCTCAGTGAATGCAAGCATATGAAGATTGGAAAAGGGGCCAAAAGACCGGACATAAAGTATAGACTCGGGGGACATCGACTGTAAACTTCTTTCAAAGTGAAGCACCTGAGAGTAGTCATAGTGCCTACCATATCACCAGAGGCTCACATCAACTAAATAATCTCTAGTCGTTGCTGCCTTGCCAGTTTGACAGTGGCCTTCAGGAATTTCAACAGTGTTACTCAGGGTGCTTTATACAATATGCCAGGCTCATCTTGGGAGTATACAACACCAATATGGCACCCACACCTGAAAAAGCAAGTTAAGAAACTGGAAAACGTGGAAAGTATGGAATGAGACTAGTTCCAGAGCTAAGGGGTATGAGCTATGACGAAAGGCTAAAAAAGTTGAATGCAACAACCCTGGAGGACAGAAGGATCAGGGAAGACTTTATTTTTTTTAACACTCCAGCTGTCTTCACCAACGCCAGTGACCTGAAACAGAAAACACTCTCACCAGTCACTCCATCACTGTCTTACCAGAGGTGCACCGATATTATAGTTTAAAAACTTAAGATATCTTCACCCCTTTCTTCAGAGAGCAGGCACTGTACTTCTCCAGGACTCAAGTCCAGCTAACCGGTTTTCCTGAATCCCCTCATCAATGTTACCTTACTCGCACTCCAACAGCTCAGCAAGTCCCAAAAACCATTTGCCTCCACACCTATCAAACATACTCACACACGCCTGATGGGTGCCATTAAAATAAAATATTTTTCATATTTCCCACAGATTCATCGTGGCCGGCCCAACACTTTAGGTAAGGCCTTTGAGCCAGTGAAGATGCCCAACCTATTACCGAAAAACTTGGCAGGAATGAACATAAGTATACAATCTGCAGTTGCTTCAAATCTTTTGTCATCGGCAAACGCAGCATCACTAGCAGCAGGACGGGGGCGAGGTAGACCTGTGGGTTCATACAAGAACACAGGGCCCTTGCCCACCCAAGGTCGAGGAGGTACAACAGGTGTGTGTTTACTCCATAGTGTTCTCTCCATATTGCCATGTCCAGCATTTAGTGAAAAATTGGTAGAAGCCCTTAAAATAAAGACAGTTATTTCTACTTGCATCCATTAAGCTAATGTGTCATTCTGTTTGACATATTTGTTTAAAACATTTCTTCTTATTGTTAAAATTTTTATTTAAACTTGATTCTTGTTAGCCCCTAGTTTGGATCTTCCTGAGGAACTCTGTTTGTTTCTAATTACTATAGTTTAAAATAGTTTCTGAAGTACAGTATAACCACATTACAATAAGGTGTTTTAAAAACCAACTTGGTTCACAGATAAGCAGCTTGGGAATTATACAATATTTCCCTTTCATTGAGTTTGTGATAGGCAACATTTTTTTCTTCGTGGCCCTCATCCATAATTTTTTTTTAATAAAATATTGCATAGGATTTTTGGAGGTTGATGAAAAAATTAGCAGATGACCAGTTGAAACTGCCTTTGTTGTGAGACATGCCCATTTTACTTCCCTTCATTAATCCATCCTGTCCTCTTGCCAAATGAAAGTTTCATTTATAAGTGTAGGTGCTTATGTTAGGTATTTTTAATGTAGGAGAGTGTAAACCAATGTATCTAAATAGGTTATGATTAAGATTGTGAAGGTTGACGGTTAAGGTACTTTAGTCCTTGTTTAGTACCATTTGACATAATTTGTAAGCATAGTTATTTGTGTGTCCCTTTCGTGTTATGATGCAGCTAATACAGGATCTTTGTTGTACACGTCTTGTGGCACGACGATGACGACTACAGCAAACTTGGTGCAGCAAGTATCTGGCAGTACACAACAGTTCACCCTTGGTAACCAGATGTTCCATGTAAGTATGGCATTTGTTTTAATTTGTTGACATGCAGATAGATATATCCCAGTGTAATAATTGATTGTTTCTTGTTGGTCTTCAAAAATCATTGATAGACAAGTGAACCCTTACTATCGATGAACCCTGTAAATCCAGTAACTGCTAATATATACTCTACCATTAAATGCTGTCCGTATACTGTAATTGCTCTTTCTTAAAATTCGTCCCTATTTTTTCTTAAAAGTGGGCATATCTGTTTCATTACTGCAAACATTTCATTAATATTGCCATTCATGAAAATGTGTGTTAACAAAGAAACTTGGTAGTGGGAATGTTCAGTAAGTATATTTTGGGTACAGTCCTGTGGTTTATGTTCACCTTAAGGCTGGTGAGCTAAGCCAGTACAAAATAGACACTGCCAGGAAATTTACTTTTTTTCATTTCCTGAAGAGACTTCAGTAAAAATGTGATACACTGTAATCAAAATCAGTGAATCTGCTGTGCCACAGATATGTAGGAATGTCTGTACTGAACATTTACCACAAATTTTGTTGGGAAAGCATCATACATACAAAACAGCATGTAAAAACCAGTGAAATTGCATAATATAGTATAAAATGTTACTTTGTTAACATGATTTGAGGTTAATCTTGGTTTCTAGGAGACTTGTTTTAATCATTATCATTTTAACTGTGATGAATTTTTTAGGGGTACAAAATTTTGGTATTAATGTTAATCATATCAGTACAGTAGGATCCCCTCTGTATCCACTGATTCATTATCTGCTGTTTCAGTTATCCAAGTTTTATTGTGGCCTAAAAATACCTCTTAATTTTGCATAATAATGGCCTCTAAGTGCAAAAGTAGAGAAGCTGGCAGTTCTTCAAAGCCTAAGAGAAACCATGAAGTGCTTCCCATCACTGAAAAGTGATAATTCCCCACTTTTTTTTTTTTCAACAAACCAGCCGTATCCCACCAAGGCAGGGTGGACCAAAAAGAAAAAAAAAAGTTTCTCTTTTTAAATTTAGTAATTTATACAAGAGAAGGGGTTACTAGCCCCTTGCCCCCGGCATTTGTCACCTCTTACAACACGCATGGCTTACGGAGGAAGAATTCTGTTCCACTTCCCCATGGAGATAAGAGGAAATAAACAAGAACAAGAACTAGAAAGAAAATAGCAGAAAACCCAGAGGGGTGTGTCTATATATGCTTGTACATGTATGCGTAGCGTGACCTAAGTGTAAGTAGAAGCAGCAAGACGTACCTGAAATCTTGCATGTTTATGAGACAGAAGAAAGGACACCAGCAATCCTACCATCATGTAAAACAATTACATGAGCGGTTGCTGTTTACCAAGCTACTATCTGAAATTCCCCACTTATTGTTCATAATTTATTAATTCAGCTTTAAAATAGGTGTGTGTAGGATGAACAAGGATGCTTTAGAATGGGTAGGGGATGTGTAGATCAAGTGTTTACATTGAAGATGTAATTGAACATTATTTAGATTAAGGTAGGGATATTTTCATTGCATTTATGGATTTAGAAAAGGCATATGGTAGGATGGATAAGGGACCAATGTTGCAGATGTTGCAAGTGTATGGAATAGGTAGTAAGTTACTAAATGCTGTAAAGAGTTTTTGTGAGGATGGTGAAGCTCAGATTAGGGTGTGTAGGAGAGAGGGAGATTACTTTCCAGTAAAAGTAGATCTTAGACAAGGGTGTGTAATGTCACCATGGATGTTTGACATATTTATAGATGGAGTTGTAAAAGAAGTAACTGCTAGGGTGTTGGAGAGAGAGGGAGATTAAATTATGGGGAATCAAATACAAATGGGAGTTGTCACAGTTACATTTTGCTGATGATACTGTGCTTTTGGGAGATTCTGAAGAGAAGTTGCAGAGGTTGGTAGATGAATTTGATAGGGCATGTAAAAGCAGAACATTAAAAGTGAATATAGGAAAGAGTAAGGTGATGAGGATAAAAATATTAGGTGACGAAAGATTGGATATCGGATTGGAGGGAGAGAGTATGGAGAAGGTGAATGTATTCAGATATTTAGGAGTGGACATGTCAGCAGATGGGTCTATGAAGCATTAGGTGAATCATAGAATTGATGAGGGGAAAAGGGTGAGTGGTGCACTTAGGAGTCTGTGGAGACAAAGAACTTTGTCCATGGAAGCAAAGAGGGGAATGTATGAGAGTACAGTGGACCCCCAGTTAACGATATTTTTTCACTCCAGAAGTATGTTCAGGTGCCAGTACTGACCGAATTTGTTCCCATAAGGAATATTGTGAAGTAGATTAGTCCATTTCAGACCCCCAAACATACACGTACAAACGCACTTACATAAATACACTTACATAATTGGTCGCATTCGGAGGTGATCGTTATGCGGGGGTCCACTGTATAGTTATATCAGTACTCTTATATAGGTGTGAAGCATCGGTGATGAATGTTGCAATGAGGAGAAGGCTGGAGACAGTGGAGATGTAATGTCTGAGGGCAATGTGTGGTGTGAATATAATGCAGAGAACCCGTAGTTTGGAAATTAGGAGGAGGTGCGGGATTATCAAAACTGTTGTCCAGAGGGTTGAGGAGGGGTTGTTGAGGTGGTTCGGACGTGTAGAGAGAACGGAACGAAACAGAATGACTTCGAGAATGTATAAATGTGTAGTGGAGGGAAGGTGGGGTGGGGGCTGGCCTAGGAAAGGTTGGAGGGAGGGGGTAAAGGAGGTTTTTGTGTGCAAGGGGCTTTGACTTCCAGCAAGCATGCATGAGCGTATTTGATACGAGTGAATGAGACAAATATTATTTAATACTTGATGTGCTGTTGGAGTGTGAACAAAGTAACATTTATGAAGGGATTCAGGGAAACCGGCAGGCCGGACTCGAGTTCTGGAGATGGGAATTACAGTGTCTGTACTCTGAAGGAGGGGTGTTAATGTTACAGTTGTTAAAGTTTTTCTTTTTTTGGGCCACCCTGCCTTGGTGGGAATCGGCCAGTGTGCTAATAATAAAATAATTTCCTGATAATTAAAAATGACTTTTTTTTTTTTTTATTTGGAGGTACAGCCTTGATTCCCTCTCTACTTCATATGGTAGTTCTTCAAGTTAGTTACTTTAAAATTTACTGGTAGCTGTATACACAGAACTACATGTCATTGGGGTAGCTCCAAAGATAAACCTCACTGGGTTGAGTGTACTTAATTTTGCTATGAATGTTAATTTTCCAATGGGTTTTTGTTAACATGAACTGCCTAATTAATTTTTACCTTGACAGTTTTTCTAAAGCTTCATTGTATTCATAAGGGATTTCTTTATTAAACATTCCTTGCCAGATTTCCTTTGTTACGGGAAACCATCCTTTTCAAATTTTTTTTCCCTTGTCTCATTTTCCTATTTTTTTTTCTTGCCAAGGTAACTGTGTTTCATTTAAAGTTTTAAAGTATTTACTTACTGCTTCCCATCATGTATACACATCAAACCATCATTTGTGTAAAGCGGCTAATTCTCTGCTTGACTTTTGCCATAAACGAACATGCTCAGTAATTGTTTTGAATGCTTGTGTTCCATCTCAGTCCTTTCACTGTCAAGACCCCTTCTCATAAACTTGCTCTCAGTGTTGAAAAAAAAAAAATTCTTATGAAATGATAGAGAATCTTTTCCCAATGGTAATGACACCAAAAGTACCAAATTTTTTGGAAAACTTACGGAATTACGCTGTCGCTAAGGTAGTGATCTCGGCGATATTTACACATTGGCGATTTTGCCCACTTTGAGCCCTATTTTTGGCCAATTCGATTGTTCCAGTTGACCAAACTCATAGCTCCATTTGTTCTATCGGCTGAGTACAAGAAATTGCTCCTTTACTGATTTCAACTACCCATTAAAGTGATCAAAAATTGGTAATTTGGCCAATTTCATACACAAATCAAGTAAGGCTAATTTCAAAATAGGGGCCAGAATAAACAATGCAGACATTTCTAGCATTAAAATAACATTTTCTCTGTTTAATAGTCATGTCTCCAGGCCCCTCTTATATTACGCTTTCTTTCCATTTTGAATTTTTACTCGCACAAAAAACAGAAGATTTGCTGTTATGAAGACTACTGCATTATTGTAAAAATAGTATAAATAATATCAGCACATTTGTGATAGAATATTAGATTCACCAGTTGACATGTATTGGATGCATGGTGTGATTTGTTTACTCATGAACATTGGCAAAAATCAGACATTTCTGCTACTTTGAGCTCAATTTCAAGGTACTTTTAGCTTGAAAACCATTCAGAATCATCTCTACTTCTGTAATATATCTTCCATTCTATCAAATGAGATCAAGAAAACAAGAATACGACAATAAATACCATTCGAAAATACACCACAAAGTCAGTGCTTTTAACCAACAACAAGGTCAAGTTTTTTTTTTTTCCTCATGCACTCCGTGCTGCAGGATTTTTTTTATTCTGCACACGTTGACCACTCAAACCCATTCTCTCATATGTAGGTCTACTAGCTTACTCCCACTAGATTTGTAGCCACTAGAATTTTGGCGTAGTACTACGGCACCAACAGTGAAAGGGTGAACTTTAGGGTGTATGATGACCACTAAGCAGAATATTTGGATAAATAAAACTTGGGAAATATGTGTTGTTTATTTTTATACACTGGTGTGTATGTTAAATACTTTAGTTTGGCTTACTAATATACCTGTGGCTTGTAGTAAGTAATAGTGTTTATTTTTCCATACATGCAAAGTGTAACTGCATGTTTTTATCTGTTGAGCAAAATATGTTGAAATAAAGCTGAGCATATCTCCCTCTCTCTTTTATGTTTGTCAAAACTGGTTATTTTTTATGATACTTCAGTGTGTGTTCATTTTATTGCATGTGGATGTGATTGTAACTTTATTAGATAAGCACTTCATACATGTGAAATGTTTTAATCTTCTTTTAAAGAATAACTATTCCTTGATGCTGCCAGTAGAATGAAATATGTTTGTAAATCTTTTTAAATCTATCTCAAATCCAGTGTACCTTACTCAAGAATATATAGTATGTATACCAGATTTAAACATTTCCTTTTTTCATTGAAGTAAAAGACAAAAAAAAAAAATGTTAAAGCCACAGGTTTAGGCAAGTGCCTTGCATGTATTGCAAAGGTCAACTAAATGTCTAGTGCATAACATGTTTGGTTGAATAATTTGTGGTTAAGTTTAGGAATAACTTGTTGGTTTCTGGTGTGACAAAACAGCTTCAGAACATTAGTACATCTTGAGTAACATTTGCCTTGCCTTCAGTGGGCCACAAAACAGCCAAGATAACTGATTATTAGAAGGACTTGCAAATCCAATCAGAATTTTAGGAAACCTCTATTACTGCTCTATCAATACAAAGACTAACATTTTATGAGCGCAGGAATTTTGGCACGTCATAGAGCATGGAGGTTATTAGGCCTTAAGTCATATAGTAGTACAGTAACAATATTACTCTAATGACAATGGAGTGGACCAAATGCACATTCTTTTTGTTAGGTTTTAATTCCATATTAAAACATTTATGCTGATTATGTACAATAAACCCTCTCATAAAGCACAGGTCTTCTTCCTGAGATATAGAGTTACGAAAAATAGTTAAGTGAAGTGGAGAGCATAGGGAAAAATAAGGTTACATTCCAGGCACCTCCAGATTTCCCAATCAACATTTTATTGTACTGTACTGTTTGAATGTGCATGGATGTATTGCAAATGATAAGAAAGAGGTGATTGTGAATGTTATGAATGAAAAGAAGCTGGCTCTAAGCAAAATAAAGTGGAAGGGAGTAGGAGAGTTTCAGTGGGGAGAAGTAAATGGGATTAGGTCAGATGTATTTGAGAGCTAAGGAAGGAGTAGCAGTAAATGTTGAAGGTTCAATTTTGGCGGGAAAATAGGGAATATTAATGTATAAATTCAAGAATTACATGGATTAAAATAAGGGTTGTATGCAAAAAGTGGGTTATATTGTGTGTGTATACACCTGGAGAAAAGAGGAATGTAGAGACAGAGAGAGAGAGAGAGAGGAATGTAGAAGAGTGAGAGAGAGAGGGAGGGGAATGTAGAAGAGTGAGAGAGAGAGAGGGGAATGTCGGGGAGGGGGGGGTTGGGGTTTGAAAGGGAAAAATTTTGGTGTAAATATTAAAAAAGAAAAATTTTCGGAGGTTGGAAATTGGGCAGTGCTGAGGCAGTGGTGAAGTGAAGGGTAAAGCAATGGTGATGATGGGATCAAAACAGAATGTTAAAAACAAATGGGGATATAGTTTGGAGTGTTGGTGCATTCATCAGTGCCTAAATGTGTAACACTTACATGAGTCTTGCAATAACTGATCATACAATTTTCTCAATGCAGCAATATTTATCAAACTTTAGATATTTTTCAGTAAGGGTTTTTCTACCAAATAAAAATAAAGTGTCTTGGCTCTGAGAATCATTCTTATATTATGCTATTTTGGATCTCATGGTGGTTGATTGAAGACTTAATGTTGAAGCAGCTACAATCATGGATTATGAGGTAACCTATTGAAAGGGGCAGTAGTAACTAGAAAGCGAGTATGAAGCTGGTGATTGAGGTTCTTTTGGTCCTGCCTGTGATGTGAAAGTACTTGCCATCCAACCTGCTCTAGACGAGTCTTGCGATAATATGAGCAGTTTGGGGTTATGTTGGTTTCTTTAAGATGTATCAGTTGTCTTGAAGTAGGGTTTATTAAGGGGGACTTGACATGATAATAATTTCTATTAGATATAAATATGGTAATGACATACTTTGGGACCTTTGTATGCATAACATTTCTGGCTTAACTTAAAACTAAAACATTGACAATTGTTCACACATGTGAGTTAGCAGTAAGAATGTATAAATGTAAATGCCTGTAAATTACAAAGAATACGAATGAAAAAGACATTAAAATGTAATTATTTGCAATGTATTGTAACTAGGAAAGGGGTATACATTAAATGTGATATTAACTACTACTACAATATTTGGTAATTGGTGTTTGAACCTACATGTACAGCATTTTAAAATATATATTTTACATTAAAGGATGTGCTGGAGATGAATCTCTGGAAAACAGATGGGCCTTTCCACATCTGAAAATAATATTCATTGATGGACATAAATTATTCTGTTAAATTATTGCTGTTGCATACCAGTAGTTAAACAGAGACTGGTACAGTTTTTTAAACAAAGTGTGTGTTGTTATTGGTTTGTTAATAGAATATTAAGTAGTGCATTACATTTGCCATGATGACACAGATTTGCATGCTATGGCTTCATTGTCAGCAGAAGTGCTTTAATTGGCCATTAACATTTGTTTCATTGTCATTACTAGTCTTGAGTTATACTGCCAAGATTTGCTACCTTTCATGATATGCCTAGAGGCCACCACTTTGCTGAAGCTCATTAAGCATCTCTGAGCCTTAGATAGTGCTTCAGTAAGGCTCATTATCTGAACTTAAGATGATGAGGCTTAGGGAACATGCATAAATTACGTCATTTGATTTTATTTTATTTTTAATGTAGAATTTCCCCTTCCTTGTAGTTTGCTTAAATCAACATAGCAAATAATTTTAACGAAGTCATATGCATATGTTTCATAGCTGGGGAATTAAATTTTGAGAAATAATTTAAAGTATAAAGTAGAGATTAATAAACAGTGGCATGCATGGATGCATAAGACGTAATTCGTGTATTTTCCCCACTAGTTGGGAAGCATTATCGTGTGTGTTGTTGGCAACCCACAGCTTGTCAATGGCCACCTGGTCCCAATGTCGAGTGCAGCCGGCTCAGTGAGCAGTGTTTCCGTATCTTCACAGTCGACAGCGAGAGTGCCACGCATCTTACCGTCCTCGTCATCCTCCTCTGTCAGCCTCATTCCTGGACTGGGAGCGTCGTCATCTATCACCATACAGGTAAGCGCTGGACCATCGCCTAACTCAACTATGTGTAACAGGTGTGTTATGAGGCATGTCGACAGTCATCTATGTACCCCAGGAAAGCTATTGACGATCAGCACAAACATGAGAGTTGGAAACCACTAGTTACAACTATCAAACATTGTAAGTCACAGTGTTATCTTTAACAAAGTCAGGTTGTATATGAATGCTGGCCATCTGGACTAGAGAGAGAGAGGTTGTGTGGGGAATTAAATACCAAATCTGTACTATAGAAATATATAAAATAGTTAATGTCATATATAGTATTCTCAGTTATTAACCTAGTGGTTAAATATACAGCTGTGTTTCTATTGTTTTTTCCTCCGGAAAGTCACATCAGTATCCAATGCCTGTAACATGTACTGGGACACTTAATGCAGAGCACATTTTTTTGTTTTTTTTTGTAACACTGGCTATCTCCCACCAGGCAGTTTTTATTTTAATTAAATATTGTGCTCAGGATGGAGCCTTATTAATTAAGATTGATAAAACCTACAATGTTTTAAAATAAAGGTTTGCTCTGTGTCTTCATACCTACTTACTGGCTTATTGCTCCAGTCAGCATGCCTGTGTCATGCAAGTGGGCAGTAGGTTTTTCACTAGAGCCTTCACATTTAATTTAGTGCTTCATCAACTTTCTGCACCTTTGGAGTTTGGAAAAACTAAACACAAATGCAGTATAATGCGATTCTTTATTGATTATGTTTCACCCACACAGTCTGTATTTTATACCTTTGAACCTCAGGAGTGTATTTTAAAGTATTGTTTTCAATCATCTTTAAAGATACATTGGAACCCCAAGTTTCATCTCCCCTGAGTATCGTACGCTTCGAGTTTAGAACCATTTTTCTGGCTCAATTTTGCCCCAGGTTTCGCACTGCCCCGTGTTTCGTCTCGCGTACCAGACCTGTCCACCTGCCCGCTCAGGTGTCACGAATCAGTGTGGCTTTGTTTCTCCTCGAGTGATTATAGACATTTTCATTAAGCCATCTATGATATTTTCTTCAAAATTATATAAGAAACACGTTACATAGCATATAAACATGCCTTTGTTATTCGTTCACTAAGAGAGTTCCTTTAGTCTTAACTCCATAGTTATAGTACTAATACATAATAATAATCACTCTTGGGCACATTAAATGTTTTATTTTAGGTTAATATAGACTTTTCATACACAAATAACCCGCACATAAAAGAGAGAAGCTTACGACGACGTTTCGGCCTGACTTGGACCATTTACAAAGTCACATTAACCAGAAGAGGAGCAGGACGGCTATATATAGGCAGGAAGAGGTGGTGGTAGTAGTAGTAGTAGTAGTAGTAGTAGTACAGGAATGGTATATAATACCGACAAGATGAAATTAAGACACATGCGCAACACCCGGGCATCTCTATCGTAGACGTTTCACCATCCAGCCAGCCACTGGATGGCGAAACGTCCACAACAAAGACACCCAGACGCCGCACATGTGTCTTAATTTCATCAGTAGTAGTAGTAGAAGAGGTAGTAGTAGTGGTAGAAGTGGGGAATAAGGAGGACGAGCCAGTCAAATACAAAGGAAGGGGAGCACTGCGAGAGAGCTAGGTGCCCACAGAGGGAGAGCAAGCGCACAGAGGTGCGAGAAAGGGGAAGTGGTGAAATAAATGAAGAAGGAACAGAAACACGAGACAGAAGAGAGAAAGACAACCCAGAGGAGAAAAAGGAAAGAGGAAAGGGGAAGAGGGAGAAGAAGAAAAAGAAAAAGAAAAAATGAGGAGTCAGGTTAGGTCACGGGTGTTCTGAAGTTTGGAGCATTTTACAATGTAGTGGGAGAGGAAGGCATCTACAGAGACGAAGCCAGGGCTAAGATTCATACAAGGAAAGTTGTGTATTAGAGAGGATTCAACTAGATGGCGACTGTTCGAGTTGGAAGTAGGGAAGACAGTTTCAGCAGAAGACCAGTCAATAGGATGGCTATGATCTCTGACGTGACAGAAAAGAGCATTGTTAGTGTCGGCAAGCCTAACACTATTTTTGTGCTCCCTAAGTCTGTCAGAAAGAGATCGACCAGTTTCTTCTGTCTTCTGTCTCGTGCTTCTGTTCCTTCTTCATTTATTTCACCACTTCCCCTTTCTCGCACCTCTGTGCGCTTGCTCTCCCTCTGTGGGCACCTAGCTCTCTTGCAGTGCTCCCCTTCCTTTGTATTTGACTGGCTCGTCCTCCTTATTCCCCACTTCTACCACTACTACCACCACCTCCTCGCTGCTGCTGCTGCTGCTCGCCGCCGCCGCCGCCGACGACGACGACGACGACGCCGACGACGACGACATGTGCGGCGTCTGGGTGTCTTTGTTGTGGACGTTTCGCCATCCAGTGGCTGGCTGGCTGGTGAAACGTCTACGATAGGGATGCCAGGGTGTTGCGCATGTGTCTTAATTTCATCTTGTTGGTATTATATACCATTCATGTACTACTACCACCACCACCTCTTCCTGCCTATATATATAGCCATCCTGCTCCTCTTCTGGTTAGTGTGACTTAGTAAATGGTCCAAGTCGGACTGAAACGTCGTCGTAAGCTTCTCTCTTTTATGTGCGGGTTATTTGTGTATCGTTCCAGTCACGGTATTGTGCTTTTTTTTGTTATTTATAGACTTTTCATTAATCCATGTATGATATGTTCTTCAAAATTATATAAACACTTTATATAGCATACAGCATATAAACATGCAATGTTTATATGTCATTGAGTGGTGAGTACCGGCGAATCAAGGAGGGAGGAGGGTGGAAGGTAAACATTACATTTTCTCTGATGCAGCATTAGAGAAAATGAATCTGGCGTCTGGTGCAGTAACCACCCTCATACGTGTTTGTTGACAATTCTCGGCATGAATTATTCATTACTTCTCCCTTTGTTTATGATGACATCTAAAGGTAGTTGTTAGAAACGATTAAACTCTTTGAACATGGTATGTCGATGTAATAATAGGGCTGTGTAGTGTAATAATATGGCTGTGTAATGTACCCCAGAGGGAGGGGCTACATATGTGTACCTACATCAACAGGCTACCTACACTGAATTCCTACAAATAAATACTACTCACCTTTCACCTTACATTAAGACTACAAATATTTTAAGGTAAGTAATTAATGTACTGTAGCAGTAAAAGACAAAGAAGGGAAGTAACACTAGAGAGGCCTTTGATGTCCTTATGGAGGGGGATTCCCAACTCCCTGGAATGGATTAATTATTTTTTTTTTTAACAAGTCGGCCGTCTCCCACCGAGGCAGGGTGACCCAAAAAGAAAGAAAATCCCCAAGAAGGAAATAAATCATCATCATTCAACTCTTTCACCTCACTCACACATTATCACTGTTTTTGCAGAGGTGCTCAGAACACAACAGCTTAGAAGCATATACGTATAAAGATAGACAACATATCCCTCCAAACTGCCAATATCCCGAACCCCTCCTTTAGAGTGCAGGCATTGTACTTCCCATTTCCAGGACTCAAGTCCGGCTATATAAAAATAACCGGTTTCCCTGAATCCCTTCACTAAATATTACCCTGCTCACACTCCAACAGATCGTCAGGTCCCAAATACCATTCGTCTCCATTCACTCCTATCTAACACGCTCACGCACGCCTGCTGGAAGTCCAAGCCCCTCGTCCACAAAACCTCCCTTACCCTTCCTTCCAACCCTTTTTTAGGACGACCCCTACCCCGCCTTCCTTCCCCTACAGATTTAAATGCTCTCCACGTCATTCTACTTTGACCCATTCTCTCTAAATGACCAAACCACTTCAACAACCCCTCTTCAGCCCTCTGACTAATACTTTTATTAACTCCACACCTTCTCCTAATTTCCACACACCGAATTTTCTGCATAATATTTACACCACACATTGCCCTTAGACAGGACATCTCCACTGCCTCCAACCACCTCCTCGCTGCTGCATTCACAACCCAAGCTTCACACCCATATAAGAGTGTTGGTACTACTATACTTTCATATATTCCCTTCTTTGCCTCCATAAATAATGTTTTTTGTCTCCACATATACCTCAATGCACCACTCACCTTTTTTCCCTCATCAAATCTATTATTAACCTCATCCTTCATAAATCCATCCGCAGACACGTCAACTCCCAAGTATCTGAAAATATTCACTTCTTCCATATTCCCCCTCCCCAATTTGATATCCAATTTTTCTTTATCTAAATCATTTGATACCCTCATCACCTTACTCTTTTCTATGTTCACTTTCAACTTTCTACCTTTACACACACTCCCAAACTCATCCACTAAACTTTGCAGTTTTTCTTTAGAATCTCCCATAAGCACAGTATCATCAGCAAAAAGCAACAGTGTGAATTCATATTTTGTATTTGATTCCCCGTAATTTAATCCCACCCCTCTCCCGAACACCCTAGCATTTACTTTTACAACCCCATCTATAAATATATTAAACAGCCATGGTGACATTACACATCCCTGTCTAAGACCTACTTTTACCGGGAAGTAGTCTCCCTCTCTTCTACACACCCTAACCTGAGCCTCACTATCCTCATAAAAACTCTTTACAGCATTTAGTAACTTACCACCTATTCCATATACTTGCAACATCTGCCACATTGTTCCCCTATCCACTCTATCATATGCCTTTTCTTAATTCATAAATGCAATAAAAATTTCCCTACCTTTATCTAAATACTGTTCACATACATGCTTCAATGTAAACACTTGATCTACACATCCCCTACCTACTCTAAAACCTCCTTGCTCATCTGCAATGCTACATTCTGTCTTAACTCTAATTCTTTCAATTATAACCCTACTGTACACTTTTCCTGGTATACTCAGTCAACTTATTCCTCTATAATTTTTACAATCTCTTTTGTCCCCTTCCCTTTATATAAAGGGACTAGACATGCTCGCTGCCAATCTCTAGGTACCTTCCCCTCTTTCATACATTTATTAAACAAAAATACCAACCACTCCAACACTGTATCCCCCTCCCCCTGCTTTTAACATTTCTGTCATTATCCCATCAGTTCCAGCTGCTTTACCCCCTTCCATTCTACGTAATGCCTCGCGCACCTCCCCCACACTCACATCCTGTTTTTCTTCACTCCTAAAATATGGTATACCTCCCTGTCCAGTGCATGAAATTACCACCTCCCTTTCTTCATCTTTTCTTTCTTATATTTACATTAATTCTTATGGGAAATATTGCTTCGACTTTAGGATGTTTCGACTTTAGTCCTAGCTCCTGGAATGGATTAAGGACACAACTTGGGGTTCCACTGTAATGCATGAATCTTGCTGTCCTATTAAGTAAATACAATATTGACATTACTCTACATGGTTTGTACTAAGTTTTGGGGCCTTTGTCATAGATATTTTTTTTTATTGTTCTGTAATTTCCAGGGAGATAGAAAAAATGGTAAAAAGTAGTCTAGGTTAAAAACAAATTTTAAACTGTTCTTAGTTTGTCATTGCAGTTAACATCCTTGAGATTACAGGTATTGTCAGACCTATGGACTTGTATTTTCTCATAGATAATTCTCTCCTTTGGCTGCTCTGATGTGGAGACGTAAATTTTTAGGTTCGTTTTCATTCTTTGAAGATAAACATTTCTTGCTTCTTGTAGATACCAGTCTTTATGATACTGACAGTTCTTATCCCCCATCTATAAGTATGGAGGGAAAATATTGCCTGTGTATGTATACACATGTATGTATTTTCAGACAAATCATGAATGTGAGTGACTTGAAATTTTGTGCAGTAATACCATGCCATCAAACCTCAACTATGATTACATTTCAGGCAGATCTGTCCTTATGCCTCTAACATTTATGATTCAACATTATTTGCTGAGGCAAGTGATTTAAGAAGCTTTGATTGATGTGTAAAACTCTTGAAGAAGCTTCGAGGAATATGTATGCAGTGTTATTAATAATGTTGTATCACACTTTGTCAGAAACTAACATTTTATGGATAAATTTTGCTAAAATATCACTGTAATATATCCTAAGTATTTAAAAAATTGAGAACTCTTACCCACATTCCCCGTTTCCTCATACTGTATATATAGAGATTTACATTTCATGGCTTTCTGTAAACTAGTGCTTCAAGAACTTGTATAGTACTAATATTTCCCCGGTTTTCATTTTAGCAAAGCGATTATTACATTAGATTTCTTTGTGATGATTGACAAACTGATGCTAACTAACCATTCATACCATTTTTTTTGAGGGAGTGGTGATGAGAAGAAACATTCTTGCTCCTTAACCTCTCACATGCCAGTATGTATATGCACATTTGGGAGAAAAAACCACATGGAAACAAAAACAATGGAGAATGGTTAGCCATATATTTTAACCTCTTAACTTGGATTTTTGCTTTTGTCACCACGTCAAGTTGTCTCTCCCATTGATCAGAGTTTATTACACTTAGCTGAACCAATATGTGGTAAATTTCTTTTTTAATCATTGTCATTTTCACTATTATTGAACCATTAAAAATTATTCCAAACCATTTTATTGCTCTGCCTCACCAACTCTCATACTAGGGATGCCATTCTTGAAGGACTGAGTTAGTCATCAGTATGTTGAATGTACAGCACCTTTGGAATCTTCATTTGAATTGTATTAAAGATCAGCAGTTATTAGCTGCCATAGAGCACAATACATTGCCAGTGGCTTGTGAGAACTCATTGACCACCTTATTGTTTATTTCGGAATACGTATATTGTAGTGAAACGCTGTCTAATAGTCACACAAAATCAGTTTTGTAGCTGACAAATTACAGGAGATAGTAAAAGTATGTATGTTTTAACAGGTGACCACTTGGACTCTATTGGTTAAGAATTTGGTGTGTACGATGAAATGATGACTGACTACAAAAAAAAAACGCTAATAATTTCCAGTGGAAATGGAAATGGCAGTAGATGTGTGTGCTGAATTGTAGAAAACTTATGAAGGGATGTGTTGTAATGTGTCCCTGTGCTACAGGAGCCTGACACAGTAAATGCATTTAAAAAGGAGAGAAAAAGTCAGTTGATGGGAATAGTTGTCATTGACAGTAATGAACATTTGTAAGTTCAACAGTGCCTTCAGGAAATTAGGAAATGAGAGTTGTCTGTGATCGATGCTTTCACTGTAGGGAATTTAGTGAAACAACCCAATGTCTTTGAATCCCTAAAAATGTGAGCTTCACCCAGGAGTGCTCAGCCTAAAATGTTTCAGGGCACTCATTAACTAGATTACCTCCAGTATTTCATGTATTTCCAGGAATAACATTTTTAGGGGTATATGTAGATGGGGTCTACATTAGAGATTTTTCTTGCTTTACACATTTTTTGCAGCATACAGTACAGTCGTACCCCAAGTTTCAGACATAATTTGTTCCAGAAGGCTGTTCGAGTGCTGTTACTGAACGAATTTGTTCCGATAAGGAATAATGTAAATTAGATTAGTCCATTTCAGACCCCCAAAAACACACTTACAAAAGCACTTTCAATAATACACTTAATAATTGTTAAAGTTGGGAGCTGTACAAAACTCGGGGTACCACTGTACAGTGGACCCCCGGTTAACGATAATTTTTCACTCCAGAAGTATGTTCAGGTGCCAGTACTGACCGAATTTGTTCCCATAAGAAATATTGTGAAGTAGATTAGTCCATTTCAGACCCCCAAACATACACGTACAAACGCACTTATACACTTACATAATTGGTCGCATTCGGAGGTAATCGTTATGCGGGGGTCCACTGTATTTACATCGTTAGTATTCAACATTTGTAAAGCTACTTTCTCTTATTCATTATTTTCCAAATAAAAGAAAGTTCATTCTAAAATTTTGGAATTTCAGATGGTTTCTAGAATTAAAGAGTTTTCCAAATTAGAGCAAAAATTCTTTATTTTTTATTCAAAAAGCAAGAATTTTTTTTTTTAAATTTTGTACTGTTCCATGCTGTCTTCTTTTTTTTTATTTATATCATTGTGTGTCCTAGTGATAATTGTAAATAAACTAAATGAAATTCTCATAGTCCTCCTATGTACAAATGAGGCCATTTCTTGACCTAGTCTCTCTCTCTACAGAGTGTACAAAGCAAGGCAGGGAATACGAAGTCCCCACAGCAGCCGAGCATCTCTATTACGCCGCTTCCACGGGGAGGCCAGCAGCAGACACAAAACCTTAATAAGGGGTCCACACCAACACGGGATTCCAGTGGGAAACCGTCCTTTGTCATATGTGAAATTTGTGACGGTTACATTAAGGTGAGTAAAGGCGTTTCTTTCTCTCTCGATCATCAGGAAAAGTAAGTTCATACCATAATTCGTCATTGTTTAACTTATGTATTCATCTTCTTTTTAAAAGTTCTTGGAGTATGCTTACATAACATTCAACAATTTGAGGAATGATAAATCATCTCTGTCAGTTCCATAATACAGATGATGAGGAATCATGTTCATAGCCATCTTAAGGCCATGAGAAGTCTCCAGTTAAGGAAAGGGTCAAAAGTATATTATAAAACAAGTTATATATAGTACAACATGGAGGACATATTTCTCTGACAACATTGATAACTATTGTATCTTCCTCCTGTGTCACATTTCTATTTCAACATTACTCTTTTTCCAAGACACTGTCCTATACTCTTAATGTCTATGATGACCCTGGCTTGGTAGTATTACCTTTATAACTCTCGCATATTAAACTAGGACCATTGACATCGCTCATTAATACTTCAACCAAAATATACGTCAGTAATGTTGTGAAACAAGCATAGTAAGTAAGAAAAGTCACTTTCACTCCCCACACACTGTGTGTTTACTAATTCTGGGTAGAGAGATACTTTGATTGCCTGTGAGATTTGCAGGTGTGATTGACTTCTTGCAGAAGTGTATGAATATCCTGCATTTGCATTCCCCTGAGATGTGAGTTAAGTCTAGGTCTCGGAGCCTTGGCTCACTAATACAATATTTTCAGTTCAAGACTCATTTCATGTTAGTAAAATCAAGCCTTTAGTAATCTTCAAGGCAACATTTGACTATAATGTAATGTCAGTAACTTTTCTGAAGGCTGCTAGATCAAGAACAAAATTAAATGGAATGGAGGCAGTGACACATTTGGCTGGGGTGATGCTCAGTGAGCTCAGGCTATTTAGAAGCTACCTTTAAATCACCACATAATATCTTCTAATGAAACACCAGCATGCAGCCTTATACTTCAAAATATAATATATTTATTCTGTTAGGCTACATTATTCTGGTCTTAAAAAAACATTCTCTTAACAGGAGTGATGCACAATCAATGAAGGGAAAAACAAGAAATGGTACCTCATACGAGATTGGGATCAGATCTTTCAGAAGGATTATGAATTTGAAAAAAAATTTGCTATTGCTTGAACCAAAACATTCTACTGAAATAGATGATCTTGGTTGGTTTTCATACCAGAAGTATCTAGAAATTGGCCTCAAAGTAAAAGATATTAAATTTTTGCTGATTTTTCGGAGGACAGATGAGGCCCCCCTACACCTCTCAGTCTGTTTTATGGTAGATAGTTTATATCTATACAGGAATGTGTAGGAAGTTGCCATGAAACCATTGCTATATTTAACCCTTTGAAGGTCCAAGCCATAGTTCTATGCCTTGTTCACAAAGTCCAAGTATTTAAAAAAATATTTGTTATTTTTTCTTATGAAATGGTAGAGAATCTTTTTCTGAAGGTAATAAAACAAAAAGTATGAAATTTGATGAAAAATTGATGAAATTACACTCGCAAATTTTACTGCGTCAGCGATATTTACGCATCTGCAATTTTGCTCACTTTGACTCCTATTTTAGGCAAATTACGTTATTCCAGCTGATCAAATACTTAGGTATTTCACTGGTTTCTTTTTCTGTCTCATAAACACGCTAGATAACAGGGATATCTTGCTACTCCTACTTACAGTTTGGTCACACTTCACAGACACGCACATGCATATATATATACATACATCTAAGTTTTTCTCCTTTTTCTAAATAGTTCTTGTTCTTCTTTATTTCTTCTATTGTCCATGGGGAAGTGGAAAAGAATCTTTCCTCCGTAAGCCATGCGTGTCGTATGAGGCGACTAAAATGCCGGGAGCAATGGGCTAGTAACCCCTTCTCCTGTAGACACTTATTAAAAAAGAGAAGAAAAAACTTTATAAAACTGGATGCTTAAATGTGCGTGGATGTAGTGCGGATGACAAGAAAAGATGATTGCTGATGTTATGAATGAAAAGAAGTTGGATGTCCCGGCCCTAAGCGAAACAAAGCTGAAGGGGGTAGGAGAGTTTCAGTGGGGGGAAATAAATGGGATTAAATCTGGAGTATCTGAGAGAGTTAGAGCAAAGGAAGGGGTAGCAGTAATGTTAAATGATCAGTTATGGAAGGAGAAAAGAGAATATGAATGTGTAAATTCAAGAATTATGTGGATTAAAGTAAAGGTTGGATGCGAGAAGTGGGTCATTAATAAGCGTGTATGCACTGGAGAAGAGAGGAATGCAGAGGAGAGAGAGAGATTTTGGGAGATGTTAAGTGAATGTATAGGAGCCTTTGAACCAAGTGAGAGAGTAATTGTGGTAGGGGACCTGAATGCTAAAGTAGGAGAAACTTTTAGAGAGGGTGTGGTAGGTAAGTTTGGGTCCCAGGTGTAAATGATAATGGGACCCCTTTGATTGAACTTTGTATAGAAAGGGGTTTAGTTATAGGTAATACTATTTTAAGAAAAAAGAGGATAAATAAGTATACAAGATATGATGTAGGGGAAAGACAGTAGTTTGTTGGATTATGTATTGGTAGATAAAAGACTGTTGGTAGACTTCAGGATGTAATATTTATAGAGGGGCCCCAGATATATCAGATCACTTTCTAGTTGTAGCTACACTGAGGGGAAAAAGGTAGATGGGATAAAGGAGAATAGAAGCATCAGGGAAAAGAGAGGTGAAGGTTTATAAACTAAAAGAGGAGGCAGTTAGGGTAAGTTATAAACAGCTATTGGAGGATAGATGGGCTAAGAGAGCATAGGCAATGGGGTCGAGAGGTATGGGGTAGGTTTAAAAATGTAGTGTTAGAGTGTTCAGCAGAAGTTTGTGGTTACAGGAAAGTGGGTGCGGGAGGGAAGAGGAGTGATTGGTGGAATGATGATGTAAAGAGAGTAGTAAGGGAGAAAAAGTTAGGGATATGAGAAGTTTTTACAAAGTAGAAGTGATGCAAGGAGGGAAGAGTATATGGAGAAAAAGAGGAGGTTAAGAGAGTGGTGAAGCAATTAAAAAGAGAGCAAATGAGAGAGTTTGGGTGAGATGTTATCAACAAATTTTTTTGAAAATAAGAAAAGTTTTGGAGTGAGATTAACAAGTTAAGAAAGCCTAGAGAACAAATGGTTTTGTCTTTAAAAAAGGGAAAGGGGAGTTTTAAAATGGGGTTAGGGGGTTTTGGGGAAAGATGGGGGAATATTTTGAGGAATTGTTAAAAGTTGTAAAGTAGGGAAGTGTGATTATGTATGGGCAAGGAAAAATAAAAATCTTGTAGGAGTGGGAAGGGGGCCCTTTGTGAGTGTGGGGGAATTTGTGAGGCAGTGGTAAAATGGGGGGGGTTTAAGGGCAGGGGATTGTGGGTAAAGATAAAAATTTTTTTAAAAAAGAGGGGGGGATATTATTTTTGGGTGGTTGGTTTTGCAATTATTTAAAAATGTTGGAAGAGGGAAAGGTACCGGGGTTGGCGAGAGCATGCATAGTTCCTTTGTATAAAGGAAAAGGGGTAAAAAAAAGGGCAAAAATTATGGGGGATAAGTTGCTGAGTATACTGGTAAAGTGTAGGGTAGGGGTTTTTATTGAAAAATTAAGAGTAAGAGGAAAATGGGATAGCAGAGAAAAAAGGAGGTTTTAGGAAAGGTAGGGGGTGTGTGGACAGGTGTTTACAGTAAAACTTTAAAAAGTGAACAGTTTTTTAGTAAGGGCAAAAGAGGCTTTGTGGATTTAGGATTTGGAAAAGGCGTTTGACAGGGGGGTAGGGGGGAAAATGTGGCAGATTTGAAAGTGTATGGTGTAGGGGGTAGGTTACTGTAAGCAGTGAGATTTTTTACGGGGGATAGTGAGGCTCAAGTTAAAAGAATTAGGAAAAGAGGGAAATTATTTCCCAGTAAAAGTAGGCCTTTAGACAAGGTGTGTGAGTCCCCGGGTTTGTTTAATATATTTTTTGATGGGGTTGTAAGAGAAGTAAATGCGGGGGTTTTGACGAGGCGTGGGTTAAAGATAAAGAATCACCACAAAGTGGGGTTTCACAGCTGCTCTTTGCTGTGACACTGTTTCTTGGGAGATTTGAAGAGAAGTTGCAGGATTGGGGGATGAATTTGGTGGTGTGCAAAAAAAGAAAAATTAAAGGTGAATACAGGAAAGAGTAAAGGTTTTGAGGATAACAAAAAGATTAGGTGTGAAAGATTGAAAATTTAGATTGGAGGGAGAGGGGTATGGGGGAGGTGAAAGTATTCAGAATTTGGGAGTGGGGGTGTCAGCGGATGGGTTATGAAAAAATGAGGTGAATTAGAATTGATGAGGGGGGAAAAAAGGTGAGTGGTTTACTTAGGAGTCTGTGGAGACGAAGAACCCTTTTTCCTTGGAGGAAAAAAGGGGAAAATATGAGGTATAGTTTTTTCCAAAGCTCTTATTTTGGGGTGTGAAGCATGGGGATGATGTTGCAGCGAGGGGAAGGCTGGAGGCGTGGGGATGTCATGTCTGAGGGCAAAGTGTGGTGTGATATAAAGCAGAGAATTCGTATTTTTTTGGGAAATTAGGAGGGGTGGGGATTACCAAAACTGTTGCCAAGGGGTGAGGAAAGGGTTTTTGAGGTGGTTCGGAATGTAGAGGAATGGGGCGAACGAAGACTTAAGAGTGTTTTCAGTCTGTAGGGAAGGAAGGCGGGGTAGGGGTGGCCTGGAAAGGTTGGGAGAGGGGGTTTTTAAAGGGGGTTTTGTGTGCGAGGGGCTTGGAATTTCCGCAGGTTTCATGAGGGTTTGTAGGAGTGGGAAAGGAGAAAAAAGGTTTTTTAAAATTTGACGTTGTGGTTGGGGTGTGAGCAAAATAACTTTTGAAAGGGGTTAGGGGGAAAAAGGGAGCCGGGCTTTGGGCCCGGGATGGGAAGTCAGTGCCTGCGCTCGAAGGAGGGGTGTTAAAGTTGCATTTTAAAAAAAATGTAGTGTAAAGCCCCTTCTGGCAAGACAGTGATGGAGTGAGTGATGGTGAAAGTTTTTTTTTTTTCGGGGCCCCCTGCCCTTTGGTGGGGAAACGGCCAGTGTGAATAAATAAAAAAAAAATTTTTTTATTTTACTGGCGTTCCCCCAAGGCGGGTGGGCCCGAAAAAAAAAAACTTTCACCATCATCCTCCATCACTGTCTTGCCAGAGGGTGCTTTACACTACAGTTTTTAAACTGCAACATTAACACCCCTCCTTCAGAGTGCAGGCACTGTACTTCCCATCTCCAGGACTCAAGTCCAGCCTGCCGGTTTCCCTGAACCCCTTCATAAATGTTACTTTGCTCACACTCGCTAGTATTACTTCTATTTTATCGATTGAGCACAAGAAACTGCCCAATCAACTATTTGAAATACCCAATAAAATGATCAGAATTTGGTTGTTTGACCAATTTCACACAGTTCAAAATATTCCATTTTCAAAATAGGGTCAAGAATAAACAGTGCAGGCATTCCTGGCATTAGAATAGCATTTCTTCTGTTTCTTAGTTATGTTTCCAGGCTTTACAGATGAATTCCATTTTGATTTTTTATTCACATATAGAATTTTTATTCACACCAAAATATAGATTTACTGATATGTAAAGTTGTAATAATTGTATAAATAATATCAGGGCATTTGTGAACGCACTTTAGACCCACCAGCTGATGTGTATTAGAGATGTGACGTCATTTGTTTACTCTTGAACATCAACAAAAATTGAACATTTTCCCTGCTTTGAGCTCAACTTCAAGCTATTTTCAGTGCTAAAACCAATCAAAATCATCTCTATTTCTGTAAAATGTCTTCCACTCTGTCAAATGAGACAAAGAAACTGCGAATACAACCATAAAAACATATGAATATGTACCGCAAAGTCGCTGTTTTAATCCAAAAACATGATCACTATTTTTTCTTCCTCATACACTGTGTGCTGCAGCATTTGTTTTATATGGTGCACACTTACCACATAGAGCCATTCTCTCATATCTAGGCTTAAATTTACTGCTCACAGCTTATCTGAGTGAGCTGAGCTCATGGCGTAGACCCAGGCCCAAAGCCATAGAACTACAGGACGGACCCTTAAAGGGTTAATATTTAGGTGTTGTTGATTTTCTAAGGTGATAAGATAATATACTTTCACTAAAGCTAGATTCGAAATAACCTAAAACACACTTCCTACAGGACCTAGAGCAACTGCGGAACCATATGAACCTGATTCACAAAGTGAAGATCCACCCAAAGATGATTTATAACCGCCCACCGCTCAACTGCCAGAAGTGCCAACACCGCTTCTTTACAGACCAGGTATCAGCTCAGAATTATCGCTAACAACATCAAGTGGTGAGAGGATCCCTTGGTGATAATTTGTATTTTATATGAAAATATATTGGATGTTTATATGATAGAGAATGGCTATATTGGTGAAAGTAATCTCAAGACTCCTATAGGGCATGTTTCAGCAAGTTGTTACTTCTTAACAGGGTTTAGAACGTCATCTACTGGGTACCCATGGGCTGGTAACTTCGTCCATGCAGGAGGCAGCCAACAAGGGCAAGGATGCTGGACGGTGTCCGATTTGTGGCAAGGTTTGTGATTGTCTTGTTTCTTTTTTTTATCCCTGTCAGTCCTGTTTTTTGTTCTTTAATAATACAGCACATAGCCTTGCCAATTAAATTTTTATTTCTTTTTTTTCCTCCAACAAACTGGCCACATCCCACCGAAGCAGGGTGGCCCAAAAAGAAAAACGAAAGTTTATCTTTTTAAATTTAGTAATGTATACAGGAGAAGGGGTACTAGCCCCTTGCTCCTGGCATTTTAGTCACCTCTTACAACACACATGGCTTACGGAGGAAGAATTCTGTTCCATTCCCCACGGAGAAAATTTTCCCTTTCACTCCGGTGCTTCAACCTCCAGACTTCAGTGATGAGAGGTGTGACTCTACCAACAATCGTAGTCCAGTGGTGATGTTTCCTTGATATATTATTATTAATTTTTTCCTACAAGTGCTTCTGGCCTGTATTGTTTATGGATGGGTTGGTTTTTTTTTTTTTTTAATGTAAAAAGCTGAAGGCTTTTTTTTTGGCCTAGGCCATTTTTGAGGCCTACATTTCTTTCCATCCTGCCTGCCCTCTTTCACTTCTTAATTTTTATGGCTTTTATTTCAGGGCAAACAACTGTCAGGTGCTGTGTATTTTTTTTTTAACACGTTGGTCATTTCCCACCAAGGCAGGGTGACCCAAGAGAGAAAGAAAAACCCAAAAAAGATAAAATAGTCAGTGGTTCTTTTGGTTAAATATTTAGATTATTTATTTAGTGGTTTTGTTGCACTGAAAACTTAAGCTTATGACAGGAGTATGTATCAATAAAATATTGGTCATTGCAGTAGTAATATAGTGGCCCAGTGTATATACCACCTGCCTGGTATTTACCAGATGGGATCTATCATATAATTGTGTGTTAAGTAGAGGAAAAGGAGGAAATCCGAAGAAGGAAGAATGGTATCAGTTAGTACAAGAAAAATGAAAGTGAGTTAATTAGAAAGGAGGATAGTTATTAAAGGGTATGAGCAACTGTTATAGGAGAGGTTTGTTATAGAAAATGAGGTCAAGGAGGCATGGTATAAAATTAGGAAAGCAGAGCTAATGAACAGTAAAGGTTTGTGGGTGGGTGTGTGTGTTTTTTTTTTTTTTTGGTTCATTCTTGGAATTGGCTATTAAATCTATAGGTGGGGAAGGAGGGGGTCTGCCTCGGTGCTGGTAAAGGGCTCTTGATCTATGGAATTGGAGGTAACCCTTGGATCATACCTAATTTCCTTTCATTTCCCAGATACTCTTGACACAATAAACCCTTTACATCCTTTTGGTTTAGCATGTTCCCATTAATGTAATGTGCAGTATTTAGTTTAGGCAGGATGACCCAAAAGGTTTCTCTGTCTTGGTGGGAAACAGATGTTTAGGTTAAAAAACTTCCAGTTTAGCACAGCTTTATTTTCTGTCTATATATTTGTCTGTAGTCAAGAAAAATTATTGCAGTTTGTCATTGATGATTTTTCATATCAAGAAGATAAATAATAGGAGTCCTCAGGTTCTTCAACTCTGTATATCCTTGGTTAGGCCTCATTTAGATTATGCTGCATAGTTTTGGTCACAGTATTACAGAATGGATATAAATACTCTGGAAAACGTACAAAGGAGGATGACAAAGTTGATCCCATGTATCAGAAATCTTTCCTATGAGGATAGACTGAGGGCCCTGAATCTGCACTCTCTAGAAAGGTGTAGAATTAGGGAGGATATGATTGAGGATTTGTCAGTTAAAAACAGAGTAGGGGAGTTAGTAGATGGAGAGAGGGAGGTATTAGGTAGATGGCGAGAATATTTTGAGAAACTTTTAAATGTTGAGGAAGAAAGGGAGGAGGTAATTTCATGCACTGGCCAGGGAGGTATACCATCTTTTAGGAGTGAAGAAGAGCAGAATGTAAGTGTGTGGGAGGTACGTGAGGCATTACATAGAATGAAAGGGGGTAAAGCAGGGGGGATATAGTGTTGGAGTGTTGGTACTTTTGTTTAATAAATGTATGAAAGAGGGGAAGGTACCTAGGGATTGGCGGAGAGCATGTATAGTCCCTTTATATAAAGGGAAAGGGGACAAAAGAGATTGTAAAAGTTATAGAGGAATAAGTTTACTGAGTGTACCAGGAAAAGTATATGGTAGGGTTATAATTAAAAAAATTAGAGGTAAGACAGAATGTAGGATTGCGGATGAGCAAGGAGGTTTCAGAGTGGGTAGGCCCGCAGTGGTTCCCAAACTGTGGGGTAATGGTAGAGTAATGCTCTCTCTAGAGTCTAGAGAGAGCATTACTCTACCATTCTTCCTCTAGACTCTAGAGGAAGAATGATAGAGTAATGCTCTAGACTCTAGAGAGAGCATTACTCTACCATTACCCCCAGTTTGGGAACCACTGGCGGTAGGGGATGTGTAGATCAAGTGTTTACATTGAAGCATATATGTGAACAGTATTTAGATAAAGGTAGGGAAGTTTTTACTGCATATATGGATTTAGAAAAGGCATATGATAGAGTGGATAGGGGAGCAATGTGGCAGATGTTGCAAGTATATGGAATAAGTGGAATAGGGGAATTCTTTTGTCGGATCCCAAACTAAGGAGGTGCTAAGGATAGGCGGGGAAAAATGTGTCGATTATTTTTTTCCCCCTGGGCACTCTCTTGCCGTCTTATTTCTTTATTTTCTTCCATTCTCTTAGTTTCCTCCCTTTTCCTTCCTGTTCAGCCCCAACACTCTTTTTTTTTTTTTTTCCAACAAGTTGGTCGTCTCCCACCGAGGCAGGGTGACCCAAAAAAGAAAGAAAATCCCCAAAAAGAAAATACTTTCATCATCATTCAACACTTTCACCACACTCACACATTATCACTGCTTTTGCAGAGGTGTTCAGAATACAACAGTTTAGAAGCATATACGTATAAAGATACACAACATATCCCTCCAAACTGCCAATATCCCAAACCCCTCCTTTAAAGTGCAGGCATTGTACTTCCCATTTCCAGGACTCAAGCCGACTATAAGAAAATAACCGGTTTCCCTGAATCCCTTCACTAATATTACCCTGCTCACACTCCAACAGATCGTCAGGTCCCAAGTATCATTCGTCTCCACTCACTCCTATCTAACACCCTCATGCACGCTTGCTGGAAGTCAAAGCCCCTCGCCCACAAAAACCTCCCTTACCCCCCTCTTTCCAACCCTTTCGAGGACGACCCCTACCCCTCTTTCCTTCCCCTATAGATTTATATGCTTTCCATGTCATTCTACTTTGATCCATTCTCTCTAAATGACCAAACCACCTCAACAACCCTCTTCTGCCCTACTAATGCTTTTATTAACCCCCACACCTTCTCCAAAATTTCCAAAACTCCGAATTTTCTGCATAAAAATTACACCACACATTGCCCTTAACAGGACATCTCCACTGCCTCCAACCGTCTCCTCGCTGCTGCATTTACCACCCAACTCACATCCATATAAGAGTGTTGGTACTACTATACTTTCATACATTCCCTTCTTTGCCTCCATAGATAACGTTTTTTGACTCCACATATACCTCAACGCACCACTCACCTTTTTTTCCTCATCAATTCTAAAGATTAACCTCATCCTTCATAAATTCCATCCGCCGACACGTCAACTCCCAAAATATCTGAAAACATTCACTTTTTCCATACTCCTCCTCCCTAATTTGATATCCAAATTTTTTTTTATCTAAATCATTTGATACCCTAATCATTTGAACTCTTTTCTATGTTCACTTCAACTTTCTACCTTTACACACATTCTCAAACCATCCACTAACCTTTGCAATTTTTCTTTAGAATCTCCATAAGCACAGTATCATCAGCAAAAAGTAACTGGTCAATTCCCATTTGAATTTGATTCCCCATAATTTAATCCCACCCCTCTCCCGAACACCCTAGCATTTTACTTTCTTTTACAACCCCATCTATAAATATATTAAACAACCATGGTGACATTACACATCCCTGTCTAAGACCTACTTTTACTGGGAAGTATTCTCCCTCTCTTCTACACACCCTAACCTGAGCCTCACTATCCTCATAAAAACTCTTACAGCATTTAGTAACTTACCACCTATTCCATAAACTTGCAACATCTGCCACATTGCTCCTCTATCCACTCTATCATATGCTTTTCTAAATCCATAAATGCAATAAAAACTTCCCTACCTTTATCTAAATACTGTTCACATATATGCTTCAATGTAAACACTTGATCTACCCCTCCCCTACCCACTCTGAAGCCTCCTTGCTCATCCGCAATTCTACATTCTGTCTTACCCCTAATTCTTTCAAATTTTAACTCCCACCGTATACTTTTCCTGGTATACTCAGTAAACTTATTCCTCTATAATTTTTACAATCTCTTTGGGCCCCTTTCCCTTTATATAAAGGGACTATACATGCTCTCTGCCAATCCTAGGGACCTTCCCCTCTTCATACATTTATTAAACAAAAGTACCAACCACTCCAACACTATATCCCCCCCTGCTTTAACATTTCTGTCATGATCCCATCATTTCCAGCTGCTTTTACCCCCTTTCATTCTACGAATGCCTCATGTACCTCCACCACACTTACATTCTGCTCTTCTCACTCCTAAAAGATGGTATACCTCCCTGGCCAGTGCATGAAATACCGCCTCCCTTTCTTCCTCAACATTTAAAAGTTCCTCAAAAAATTCTCGCCATCTACCTAATACCTCCCTTTTCCCCATCTACTAAACTCCCCTACTCGTTTTTAAACGGACAAATCCATACTTTCCCTAGGCTTTCTTAACTTGGTTTAACTCACTCCAAAATTTTTCTTATTTTCATAAAATTTCTTGACAGTGCCCTCCCCACTCTTTCATCTGCTCCCCCTTTTGCACTCTCCACCACTCTTCTTCACCTTCTTTTACTCCCATATACTCTGCTCTTCTTATAACACTTCTGCTTTGTAAAAACCTCTCGTAAGCTACCTTTTTCTCTTTTTTCACACCCTTTTACTTCATTCCACCAATCACTCCTCTTTCCTCCTGCCCCCACCCTCCTATAAAACCACAAACTTCTGCCCCAACATTCTAATACTGCATTTTTAAAACTATTCCAACCCTCTTCAACCCCCCACTAACTCATCTTTGCACTAGCCCACCTTTTCTGCCAATATCGCTTATATCCGCCCGAACTTCCTCCTCCCTTAGTTTATACACTTTCACCTCCCTCTTACTTGTTGTTGCCACCTTCCTCGTTTCCCATCTACCTCTTACTCTAACTGTAGCTACAACTAAATAATGATCTGATATATCATTTGCCCCTCTATAAACATGTACATCCTGGAGCCTACCCATCAACCTTTTTTCCACCAATACATAATCTAACAAACTACTTTCATTACATGCTACATCATACCTTGTATATTTATTTATCCTCTTTTCATAAAATATGTATTACTTATTACCAAATTTCTTTCTACCCAATAGCTCAATTAAAGGCTCCCCATTTACATTTTTCCCCTGGCACCCCAAATTTACCTACTAAATCCTCCATAACATTTTACCCACTTTAGCATTGAAATCCCCAACCACCATTACTCCCCACACTTGATTCAAAACTCCCCACGCATTCACTCAACATTTCCCAGAATCTCTCTCTCTCCTCTACACTTCTCTCTTCTCCAGGTGCATATACGCTTACTATAACCCACTTTTCACATCCAATCTTTATTTTAGTCCACATAATCCTTGAATTTATGCATTTGTAGTCCCTCTTTTCCTGCCATAGCTTATCCTTCAACATTATTGCTACTCCTTCTTTAGCTCTAACTCTATTTGAAACCCCTGACCTAATCCCTCTCTATTTATACCTTATAATATGTATATATAGGTAGGTCTTAGACAGGTATTTGTAATGTCACCATGGTTGTTTAATATATTTATAGATGAGGTTGTAAAAGAAGTAAATGCTAGGGTGTTCGTGAGAGGGGTGGGATTAAATTATGGGGAATCAAATACAAAATGGGAATTGACACAGTTACTTTTTGCTGATGATACTGTGCTTATGGGAGATTCTAAAGAAAAATTGCAAAGATTAGTGGATGAGTTTGGGAGTGTGTGTAATGGTAGAAAGTTGAAAGTGAACATAGAAAAGAATTGGATATCAAATTGGGGAGAAGTATGGAAGAAGTGAATGTCTTCAGATACTTGGGAGTTGACGTGTCGACGGATGGATTTATGAAGGATGAGGTTAATCATTGAATTGATGAGGGAAAAAAGGCGAGTGGTGCGTTGAGGTATATGTGGAGTCAAAAAACGTTATCTATGGAGGCAAAGAAGGGAATGTATGAAAGTATAGTAGTACCAACACTTATTTGGGTGTGAAGCTTGGGTTGTGAATGCAGCAGCAAGGAGGCAGATGGAGGCAGTGGAGATGTCCTGACTAAGGGCAATGTGTGGTGTAAATATTATGTTGAAAATTCGGAGTGTGGAAATTAGAAGGCGTGGAGTTAATAAAAGTATTAGTCAGAGGGCTGAAGATGGGTTGTTGAAGTGGTTTGGTCATTTAGAGAGAATGGATCAAAGTAGAATGACATGGAGAGCATTTAAATCTGTAGGAGAAGGAAGGCTGTGTAGGGGTCATCCTCGAAAAGGTTGGAAGGAAGGGGTAAGGGAGGTTTTGTGGGCGAGGGGCTTGGACTTCCAGCAGGCGTGCATGAGCATGTTCGATAGGAATGAATGGAGACGAATGGTATTTGGGACCTGACGATCTGTTGGAGTGTGAGCAGGGTAATATTTAGTGAAGGGATTCAGGGAAATGGGTTATTTTTATATAGCCGGACTTGAGTCCTGGAAATGGGAAGTACAATGCCCGCACTCTAAAGGAGGGGTTTTGGGATATTAGCAGTTTGGAGGGATATGTTGTGTATCTTTATACGTATATGCTTCTAAACTGTTGTGTTCTGAGCACCTCTGCAAAAACAGTGATTATGTGTGAGGTGAAAGTGTTGAATGATGATGAAAGTATTTTCTTTTTGGGGATTTTCTTTCATTTTGGGTCACCCTGCCTCGGTGGGAGATGGCCTTGTTAAAAAAAAAAATGATTGAGGTGTATAAATGGAAAACAGGAATAAATGAAGGGGATGTAAATAGCTTGCTAAAATTATCTAGCTGAGACAGGACTCACAGCAGTAGTTTTAAGTTGAAAAAATTCCAATTCAGGAAGGATGTAGGAAAGCACTGGTTTGGTAACAGAGTTGTGGATGAGGGGAACAAACTCCTGGGTACTGTCATAGAAGCTAAAACATTGTGTAGTTTTAAAAATAAGTTAGATAATACATGAGTGGGTGTGAGTTTGACCTGACTAGCTTGTGTTACTAGGTCAGATGCCGTGCTCCTTCCTTAAGTGAATGTGACTTGACCTGACCTGACTAGGTTGGAGCATTGGCTTGGGCCAGTGGGGGACTTGGACCTGCCTTGCATGGGCCAGTAGGCCTATTGCCGTGTTCCTTCTTTATTATGTTCTGAAATCTCATTGAACTCTTAATTAGGAGCTCAACCCCTTTTCCCTTCTCTCATCATTTTTTTTTATCTGTGCTGTAGCCCTTGACAAAACTAATCATGTGTTAATTTGGTTCCTATAATTTCCGTATGGATTGGGGTCTCGCTAGTGTGTGTGTACATTAATATTCAGTACATATTTTCTTAGTATCCATGTGACTGATTATGGAATTGAAAAGATCATATAGGGGATTAAAGAGTACTGATGCTTGATATAGTGACTTCATCCCTTCCCTTCCTTCTTTTTCTACAGCTGAATTTACTAGGCTGCATGTCTTGAAAAACAACTCATACAAAACTTTTTTTTTGCTGGGTTATGAAGGCCCCCACGTGTTGCCCAGATCTCATTTTATCAAAATACCAACACAATGTGCCTGTGACCTGTTTCCAGGGTACTTATGCCCTTGCAGCTTGGCCTGAGGTTTGTTGATTCTTTGATCAACTGGTCTGTTCCTGCTAGCAGCTCACAAGTCTAACTTGCCATCACAACTTGGCTGATAAAATACTTCAACAAGGTAGTGGCTTAATTTCCTCTTGAAAATGTCTACCTTTGTTCTTGCAATATTTCTGATACCCTGCTAGTAGCAGGTTGAAGTATCTTGGGCCACAGACATTGACACAGTTCTCTAGTAGTGCCCATGGCAAAGCCAAGAATTCATGGAGAAAAATCATATGTCCACCACTCTTGTTCATGAAATGAGATTTTGTACTGTCATTGAAATGGAATGGCCTACTAGATTCAGGAATGGTCTTGCATATGACAGGTTACCAAGTTTATGATGGTTGGTATCCTGGGTTAAGGTGAGGGTTTGTTTTGAAGTTTGGGCTTATGACATTAAGGAGCATGGAAGGTGTTGTGGTTTAGGAGGGTGAAAGGGTCAATGCAGGGTCAATTCAGAGTGTATTGTATTAAAGGCCTTCAAGAACAGATCATGAAGGACTTTTATATTCACTGTTTTAACGCACTGGTTATTTCACACCAATGTAAGGTGACTCAAAAGAGAAAACATGTTAACATTATTCATTCATTAGATGTCTTGCCAAAAGTATACAGACATTATATTTTAAATGATGTGAACTCTAACACCCTAACCTCTCCTTCTGTACTTCCCACCTCCAGTATTCTAGTCTGGCTAACCAGTTTCTCTGAATCTCTTCACAAATGTTAGCTTGCTCACACTCCAATTGCTGTATAGTCCTTGTGGCTTAGCGCTTCTTTTTGATTATAATAATAATCACACTCCAATTGGTGTCAGGCCATAAATACAACTTGCCTTCACTCCACTTTAACACGCTCTCACAAGCCTGCTGGATGCCCAGCCCACTAGCATTTAAAATCATCTCTACCCACTCCGTCCAACCTCTCCAGGGTTGACCTCTTAACATTATTTTTCCCCACCTTTATGTACCTTCATGGCTATCCTATTCTGCTCCATTCTCTCTGAATGCCCAAACCACCTCAACAAACCCTCCTCAGCAGTCTGAATTATACCTTTGGTGACTTCATAGTCTTCTAATTTATATGTTCTGAATTCTGTCTAAAAGTTACACAACAAATGCTCTGAAACATGACTTCCCCATGGCATCTAGCCTACTCCCAACTTCAACATTTTATTCTTATGCCTCGCACTCATACAAGTATTGATGTATGTTTCTTTTTGCCTACATATATTATCTTTTCTTTCCATGGATACCTTGACATACCATATACCTTTTTTTCCCTTGCCTATTTTATGGTTCATTTCATTGTTCGTGGACCCATCTGCCAAAATGACCACACAGTTATCTGAATAGATTATTTCTCCATGTTCTTCTAATCTGATATCCAGTCTTTCATTTCATAGACCTTTTTCTTCTTTCTGTCAACAAACCGGCCGTATCTCACCAGAGCAGGGTGGCCCAAAAATAAAAATGAAAGTATAAATTTTTTTCTATATACTTCTTCTTTCAACAAACTGGTTATATTCCACCCAGGCAGGGAGGCCCAAAGAGAAAAACGAAAGTTTCTTTTTTTAACTTCAGTAATTTTAGTCACCTCTTATGACACGCATGGCGTACGGAGGAAGAATTCTGTTCTACTTTCCCATGTCACTTAAGCATTTTGCCAATAAATGTTTTGTGCAGGTCATGATCATAACAAATTTGCAGTAATAACACACCATTTGGTTTCTGCTGTACTGTTTGATGTGGATCAAATTTATAAAATGATTTATATATTTGGTTAAGTGGAGTGTAACAAAACTCTTTTTATTCAACAGGTGTTCCAATGGAAACTCCTCAACCATGTTAGCAGAGACCACAAGATGACACTAAAACCAGCTCACTTATCTTACAAGTGCACAGTGTGTACGGCCACCTTCAATATGTATAGGCTCTTCGAAAATCATGTCTATTCTGCACATTCTGTTGTTAACAAAAACAAAGGGGAGGGAGGCAAGAAGCAGAGCTCTGGAGGTGTGTATTGTCTTTTAAATGTAGCAAAGTATTAGTTCTGAGAGGAGGAGGAGGGGAATGGAATGTGGAAATTTAGTGGCACATCTAAGGGCTTTGATAATGCCTGTAGTGAAAGGAGAGGAAAGTGGGAAGTGGCTCAAATAGTGTTAAGGAACAAAGTAATCACTTGATTTACAAATACATACTAAGCTTTATACATATGTTTAAAACAGTGAAGTCCTTTAAAGTCTCGAGTAAAACCTGAATATTAACCATTTGTCTTTGTATAATAGAAAGGAGGGCATTTCTATTTTTCAGAAAAGTGCCATTATGATGTTATTTCACTTGTTAAACATTGTTGCCTATGGCACGGAAAAAATTGAACATGTGAGAGAAATAGAAAGATGGACGGGGGGCACGAACCATGGTCCATAAATTGACAGTGATGCTCCACCACCTCGGCTACTGGGCTCCTAATAAAGAAGGATTGGAAGTAATATTTCTGTACATGTTTCCGTCAGATGCACTGACTGTAACCCAAATGAACTTCCCCACATCTGAAGAGCTTTAGCAGTAGATCTGTTCTCACCTCCCTCACTGACAGTTATTTATTATGACTTAATCTGAGTTCATAGACTATATAGTTTGAGGGAGGTGAGAATAAATCTACTGCTAAAGCTCTTGGGTTGTAGAGAAGGTAACCACTCTTATTTTGTAAATAATTATGGTAGGAACCCTTACCCTAACCTTGTAAAGCCTGTGTAAAAGAGAAAGGAAAGGGAGGAAAAAAGAGGGGGGGGGAAGAGAGAGAAAGATATAAGAAAGAAAGATATTGATGGGTGTTTTTCTTGCAGGTTCTGGGTCCTCAGACTCTCCTCTTAAGATTAATGATGAGATTACCATCATTCCCCAGCCCGCAGTCAAAACGCAAAAGTCGGATAAGTCCATGTCTTCGGGGAAGAAGTCAGAAGGCACGGTGAGTGTAAAGATTGGGTCGCGTTTACCATGACAGGTGAGCATCCTGGTACAAGATCATAACATATGGATGTGGTCTAGTATCCTGGTTTTGCAATTAGATTTTAAAATACTACCATGGCCCTTGTATCCTAAATTTATTTGACTTAATATTTTTCAAAATTTGAAACTGCTCACACACCACCTGTACAATGGTTTTATTTCATTGTTTTTATAATTGCATATGAAAGCTCATTTATATCAATGAAAATATATTAGTTCAATCATTGATCTGTGAGTTGCAGATAATTTAAGGGGAGCTAAAAGACCTTTACTATAAGACGAGAGGCAATAGTTATTTTACTAAATAAAATGATTTTGAATTAGGGCCAAATGGCTTAGTTGATACAGTGGAACCTCGGTTTTCATGATTAATTTGTTCCAGAAAGTCTGACAAAAACTGAATTGTATGAAAACTAAAGCAGTGTTTCCCATGAGAAATAATTAAATCCAATTAATCAATTCCAGACACCCAAAAATATTAACAAAAAATACGTTGTTGAGGTGGTTTGGTCATTTAGAGAGAATGGACCAAAGTAGAATGACATGGAAAGCATATAAATCTATAGGGGAAGGAAGGCGGGGTAGGGGTCGTCCTCGAAAGGGTTGGAGAGAGGGGGTAAAGGAGGTTTTGTGGACAAGGGACTTGGACTTCCAGCAAGCGTGCGTGAGCGTGTTAGATAGGAGTGAATGGAGACGAATGGTACTTGGGACCTGACGATCTGTTGGAGTGTGAGCAGGGTAATATTTAGTGAAGGGATTCAGGGAAACCAGTTATTTTCATATAGTCGGACTTGAGTCCTGGAAATGGAAGTACAATGCCTGCACTTTAAAGGAGGGGTTTGGGATATTGGCAGTTTGGAGGGATATGTTGTGTATCTTTATATGTGTATGCTTCTAAACTGTTGTATTCTGAGCACCTCTGCAAAAACAGTGATAATGTGCGAGTGTGATGAAAGTGTTGAATGATGATGAAAGTATTTTCTTTTTGGGGATTTTCTTTCTTTTTTGGTCACCCTGCCTCGGTGGGAGACGGCCGACTTGTTGAAAAAAAAAAAAAAATTTTATAGAGAATAACTATAGTTTTACATACCAAAAACAATGAGAAATAAATATAAATGACTAATGAAATGGATAAATAAGCATTTAACATCGCTTTTACCTTTATTGAAGACTCCTGTTGGCATATGGAAGATGGCGAGGAGGGAAGAGGGAGGAGAGGTTATTGCTTGGAAGGGGAATCCCTCTCCATAAAGACTTCAGATATCAAGACCCTATCCGGGGTTACTTCCCTTCTTTGTCTTTTACTGGCACTAGGACCAGCTTGAGAGTCACTGGACCCCTCTCACACAAAAAATCTGTCCAGAGAGGTCTGTTTCTAGCGTCTCTCTAAGAGTTGCCTAAAATGGGACAAGGTATTGTCATTGAGCATGTTGCAGACACAGCTTGCAACAGCCTTGTTAAGATATTTCTCCACAAAACTTTGCAGCTCATTCCACTTTGCACATGTCTTTAATCACTGAAGAAGGCACATTCTCCCCTCTCTCTCCCTTCTCCTCTGAAGCAATTTCCTCAGCTGTGGTCACTTTCGTACTTTGCTACTTACCACTTACGTACTTTGCTACGGGTTCTTTCTTGAATTCTATCGTGTTTCTCACCTTTATCAAAGGGCTGGCACTCTTGAGCTTTCTTTGGCCCAATGGTGGCTTTTTTAGCAGTTGCACTCAATAAACAAGCACAGAAAACAATGTTTTATTATGAAATGTTATCTGAATGTGCGGGGCAATGCTCACTCAACGAGAAACAAAGCCAGACTGAGAATGTGTGGGAGGCAGTGTGGGAGTAGGCAGGCGGATACGTTTGGTACGACAGACCATTGTCAGCTCTATGAAAACCGAGTAGATGTACGAAAACTGGGACAAAATTTAGATGAAAAATGTCGTCGAAAACTAAATCCTATGAAAACCAGGGCATACGAAAACCGAGGTTCCACTGTAATTCTTAAGTGGCAGTCATTTTGTGGGGTAACCTTATGGTCAATGTTGTTTGGAGGAACATTATATATTACTCCTGCCATGGCCCTAGATTAACTTTAACACCTCTAGTCTTTGGGTTGCATATGAAGTTATGGGAGAAAACCTTAAGAATGTTACACTTACAATATGTTGTTCATGTCTGCCACATCATATATGGATATATACCATTAGTCTGGTGTTGGGTATACTTGATAATGCATGTCACAAGTGCCACTGCTGGTTTTACTTTGTGTTTGATTGTATCATTTGTGTAGTTTTGCTGTTGAATAGGTATTGTACTAACACAACTCTTGAGTTTCATTTTTGCCTCAGTTTTTTTTTTAGCCAGTTCTTCATAAACAGTATTCCTTGGTAGATGAGTAAGAGACATATGCAACAGTTGGGGATTTTTATTGTCAAAATGTTTTGCGTACACAGTAGTCACTTTTTTTATTTTTTCAATGCACCAGTTGTCTCCCACTGAGGCAGGGTGACCTAAAACGAAAAACAAAAGTTTGCCTAAAAAAAAAAGTTTTTCTTCTTAGGTAAAAAGAAAAACAAAGTTTTTTTTTTTTTTAATTTATACAGGTTTAGGGGGTTACTAGCCCCTTGCTCTTGGTATTTTAGTTGCCTTTGACAACATGCATGACTTATGGAGGAAAGACTCTAACCTACTTCCTCATGGGAATACAGCCTCTCCTCACTTAACAACGGAGTTCCGTTCCTTAGACCATGTTGTTTAACAAATTCATCGTTAGGTGAGGAGCATACTATAATGATAGTGGGTTTGTGTCAACCATCTTTGATATTGTTTTAATGTCACCTTTGCACCATTTATAACATATCTTGTATATTTTTAAATGCTCAGACGAGAACTCACACACATACGAGCTTTTAAATCTCTGCACAAAGTTCAACTTAAACCAGCAAATAATAGAGCCTACTAGATTGGAGAATACACTGGACCTCATCTTCACTAACAATGATGATCTGATACGAAATGTCACCATATCAAAAACAATATATACTTACTCGCATCACAACATAATCGAGGTTCAGACATGTATGAGCGGAGCCCCAGACCAACAAAATGGGATCAGTCACGAGGGAGCCTTCACCAAAATCAACTTCAGTAACAAGAACATAAAGTGGGACCAAGTAAACCAAGTCCTAAATGATATAAGCTGGGAAGATAGACTAAGCAACACAAACCCTAGCTTATGCCTAGAACAGATTAACTCTGGCATTCGATGTATGCTCAAGGCATATTCCTTTAAGAAAAAGGAGGAGTAGATGTAAAATAGAAAGAGACAGGCGCTTCCTTTACAGGCAACGGAAAAGAATAACAGAGCAGCTAAAAGAGGCCAATGTATCTGCAGTGCGTAGGGAGACACTGGTCAGAGAAATAGCAAACATCGAACTTGAGCTAAAGGAATCTATAGGAGTCAAGAATCACGGGAAGAACTAAAAGCCATAAATGAAATCGAAAGAAACCCTAAATATTTCTTTTCTTATGCCAAATCGAAGTTGAGAACAACATCCAGTATTGGGCCCCTACTTAAACAAGATGGGTCTTACACAGATGACAGCAAGGAAATGAGTGAGCTACTCAAGTCCCAATATGACTCAGTTTTTAGCAAGCCACTAACCAGACTGAGAGTCAAAGATCTAAATGAATTTTTTATGAGAGAGCCACAGAATTTGGTAAACACAAGCCTATCTGCTGTTATCCTGACACCAAATGACTTTGAACAGGCGATAAATGACATGCCCATGCGCTCTGCTCCAGGGCCAGACTCGTGGAACTCCGTGTTCATCAAGAACTTCAAGAAGCCCCTATCACATGCTTTTAACATCCTATGGAGAGGGAGCATGGACACTGAGGTCGTCCCACAGTTACTAAAAACAACAGACATAGCCCCACTCCACAAAGGGGGCAGTAAAGCAATAGCAAAGAACTACAGACCGATAGCGTTAACATCCCATATCATAAAAATCTTTGAAAGGGTCCTAAGAAGCAAGATCTCCACCCATCTAGATACCCATCAGTTACACAACCCAGGGCAACATGGGTTTAGAGCAGGTCGCTCCTGTCTGTCCCAACTACTGGACCACTATGACAAGGTCCTAGATGCACTAGAAGACAAAAAGAATGCAGATGTAATATACACAGACTTTGCAAAAGCCTTCGACACGCGTGACTGTGGCGTAATAGCGCACAAAATGCGTGCTAAAGGAATAACAGGAAAAGTTGGTAGGTGGATCTATAACTTCCTCACAAATAGAACACAAAGAGTAGTAGTAAACAAAGTCAAGTTTGAGGCGGCACGGTGAAAAGCTCTGCTCCGCAAGGCACAGTACTCACTCCCATCTTGTTCCTCATCCTCATATCTGACATAGACAAGGATGTAGGCCACAGCACCGTGTCTTCCTTTGCAGATGACACCCGAATCTGCATGACAGTGTCTTCCATTGCAGACACTGCAAGGCTCCAGGCGGACATCAACCAAATCTTTCAATGAGCTGCAGAAAACAATATGAAGTTCAACAATGAGAAATTTCAATTACTCCGATATGGTAAACACGAGGAAATTAAAACTTCTTCAGAGTATAAAACAAATTCCAGCCACACAGTAGAATGAAAAACTAACATCAAAGACCTGGGAGTGATCATGTCAGAGGATCTCACCTTCACTCGCATCTGCTAGAAAAATGACAGGATGGATAATGAGAACCTTCAAAACTATGGATGCCAAGCCCATGTTGACACTCTTCAGGTCACTTCTTTCTAGGCTGGAATATTGCTGCACACTAACAGCACCTTTCAAGGCAGGTGAAATTGCTGACCTAGAAAATGTCTAGAGAACCTTCACGGCACGCATAACGGAGATAAAACACCTCAGTTACTGAGAGTGCTTAAAGTTCCTGAACCTGTACTCCCTGGAACGCAGGTGGGAGAGATACGTGTTTATATACACCTGGAAAATCCTAGAGGGACTAGTACCAAACTTGCACATGAAAATCAATCTCTCCGAAAGCAAAAGACTCGGCAGACGATGCAACATCCCCCCAATGAAAAGCAGGGGTGTCACTAGCACGCTAAGAGA